TTTATTGAAACAATCACAAAAAAGAAATTAGCTTTTCCTCGTTTTTCCCCCGTGTTGCGAATTGTTGTCCTGGAGCGAAAATCCTGCACCTTGAAAAGCCGCCAAATGAAAGATTTGAAACCTCATTGCAGCTTTTTATCCAGTTTTCAGCAGTTTCATTTGCCTTTTGTATCTTTTTTGCGTCTTTTCTTCTTGTCTGATCTTCTAGAGACAACCTTCATTTTTTATGAGGGCAGATGTTAAAACAACCTTCATTTTTGACGCTCTGTCTCTAGACTATCGAAGGTATGCCGCGCAAAAATGGACGATTTTCCTTTATGCAGTGCATCGATAGGGTCATTCAAAGAGAACACTATTAAGACGTCCGCAATTATCCCAACTCTGAGCTTGGGAATTAACTTAACCGAGTTTGAGTTTTCTTTACCTTTGTGCATTTGAAGATTTAAAAAGTTTTTTTTTCAATCTTAAACTTTCTATCGAAAGAAGTGGATTTGCAGTTGACATCTGAAGGTAATCACAAAAATAATTAGAATTTACAAGAATGGAGCTCAAAATAGAATAGAATGAGACAATGCTTTTTGAATCAACAAGTGAACGAAGCTTAGCGGATGACAGTCGAAAGCCACAGCTACAGCAGCTTTGAGATTATGTAAACCGCATTAATTAAGATACATTCGCATAACTTTTTCAAAACATACATTTTCTCTCTTCAGTAAAGTTATAAGTTGAAAATTTTAGCCCTTCCTCATAAGTGATACACTCTTTGCCAACTTTATCAGAGTACTAGTTGGCAAACCCGGCTCCGCCGTGCCCTGTCAATAACATATTTGTAATCAGCATGCTCGATTACCCCCCACCCCTGTGCCAACTCCCAGCCCTGTAGCTCAAATTTTGCAAAAAATCGATAAAATCGATATCGGTCGATAACGAAAAGTAGCCTATGACATGCTTCCTGCCCCGAAGTATATGTGTGCCAAGTTTGGTCCCGATCGGTTCAGAAATAAAAATTTCTATTCCGCACATACGTACAGACATACATACATACATACAGACACACCTTCAGCTTTATAGATAAGATAAAATTAATAAATATAAAATTGTTGAAAAATTAATTAGTAATGAAATGCCATAGTACATATTACTAGCAATCGGAAATCACAACCACCACCGTCATCAACTGCAAACGATTGTATTTCACAATAGCTGGCATACACGGCTTCGCCCGGCCCTGTCAAAACACTATAATAAAGGTCGCTACAGTTGATGTTAATGAGGAGCTCACAGGTCCGTAGCTATTACCGTACGTAGCGCAAGGCTGATGCGCTCCGTTCGCGTGCGTACGGCCTGGGCGCTTTGCCAATCCTCGATCGATGACTTCTGTGGGAGCGCGGGCTTTTGCATTCTTTGAACCGTTTCAAATACTTTCGTGCTCTTTTTTCCTTTTTCTCTGTCTAACTTGATTGGTTTTTTCTGTATCTCACAATTGGATTGCACACGATCTGAACTGGTTTTATGTCGTTTTTGCTTCATTTATGTATTTAATTTAGGTAGTCTGAATAACGGTGAAAAACTGTAAACATGACACTGCTTTGGAGGGGCGTCATGGATTTTTACGTATGGCCTGTCTTCATAAACTTTGGATTTGGCTGAAATTTGGATTCTATCTAAGATTGAGACTATCTGAAAGTACAATTTTTGAAAAGAATACTACGAAATGAACAGGGTTGACAAGGAGTCGTCGGCAACACATCGGCTTTACTAATTAAAAGCTGACATACAAGAAAAAAAGAGGCTTAGTATCACTCCGTTTTCATGCTGAGTACGGGATACAAGTACTAAAAATCAGCATAAATGTAGTGAGTAAAAAAACATCATGAAACTTACTAAACATCACATTTCCAACAATAGTAAAGCGCGAAAGGCGAGAAAAGAACAAATAAGGAGGTGAAACATTCAAGAATGCGAATCGGGCGTCATATGGGCGCCATTGATCGAGAGTTGACAAAATGCCCTGCCATCCGCCCGCGAACGTGGCGCACGGGACTTGCGGCGCGTGCATGCAAACGAGGACTGCAGAAAAGAGAGTAGATTTTTGACATCGACTGTATCCATATCAATGTACAGCCTTTCCTTATGCCCACCCCTACACACCAGTTCCTTCCCTATACCCCTGTTTGCGTAATCAGCATGCTCACTTACCCCCCCCCCCCCCCCCCCTCTATGCCAGCTGACAGCCCCTTAGCCGGAAGTTTGCAAAAAACGACAAAACTGACAAAAGGGATAAATCTATTTGATATTGTATCCGTGATTAGCATGCTCACTTCCCCCCCCCCCCCCCCGTCCCATGCCAACTTCCAGCACCGTAGCTTTGCAAAAAATCGACATCGATAAAAGTAATTAACTGTAGAAAACATGATCAGCGTGTTCACTTACCTCCTATGCAAACTCTCAGAACTATAGTTTAAATTTTGCAAATCAATAAATCGATATCGATAAGTCGATATCGATCGATAACGAAAAGTAGCTTACGACGCTCGCTCCGCCCCTATGTGTGTGTGTGTGTGCAAACTAGTCTGGATCGGTTGAGAAATGGAATTTTCTATTCGGGACATACGTATAGACACACATACAGACTCACATGCACAAATAGGCATTCAGCTGCATATATAAGACCAGGGTTGAGCGTGGGGTCAGGCGCGCCTGACCCGGGGGGTCGTATTGGGGGTGGAACCGAGGGCGGGGGGTCGTATTTGGGGGTAGGATCATAAATCGTCTAAAACTATATGAAATGTAGTACAGATCTTCCAGGTGCACTGGTAAAGAGCAAGTCATCTTTCTTCATCGTTGCTTTTATTGAGTTCTTATTCTAGTTAAGGTGAGAAAATTACAAACATTGTTATTAAGTAAGAAACAGTAAATGAACTGATGGAAAATGGTGCAAAGCTATGTAAGTTCTCGCATCTGAAAATCATATGTGCGTCTTGCTCTATTTATGAGACTGCTCGCCAGCCGTCTGTTGCTTCGGCTGTCAACGAGAGCTTGAAGGATTACTGGGTAAACGCGACGTATATTAGAAATGGAACTGGCAAGAGATCTGATTGAGATAACATTGATCTGACTGGACTTACCAAACCTACCGTATGCCTACCGTAACCCCTCCAAAGGTCTCATACCAGCTAAGTGAATGCTACTTTCGTTTAGCATGCAAAATAACACTTTGTGGACCTTTTATATAATTTTCTATAACAATTTTCATCTTATCTAATGTCTGGAAGACGCTGTTTTCAAACATGATCAACTTGATTTCAACGATCAAAAAGGTCAACCTTTTTACCTTGTTGCAAAGTATTACTCTTCTTTAATATGCCCTATCAATTTCGTCTCAAACCATCCTAGAGTAATGGTTTTATAAGCCCCATCAAAACTTCGACAATGGCGCTTTTCACCTCGACTGGATTTACTGCGTGAGCTCCTAGGCAACTAAAACAAGACGAATCTGCTTCACACATCTCGTACCGCATTCACGATGTTTGTGCTAACGAATCATATTAAACTTCTTCGAGAAAGTTGCTTTTGAGATGAAGTTAATAGGGTCAGGCGCAACCCCTCAAAAACTCAGGCCGCCTGAGCTTTTGAGGGGTTGCGCCTGTCGGGACCCAGCCCGGCAACAGCTGCTAGCTGAGGGGCAGAGCCATCGCCTAAGGCTCAGTGAAGGTGGGAGCACCGGAGCCGACGGGCTCGCCCCACTTCCCCCTCCCCCTCCCCTATGTATCACCCTTATTTAATTAATCTTAATAAATATTTATAATAACTCTAATGTACTTACCTCGTACCGCTACGCTCAGGCAAGGGTCCGTACACTCCTTGAACCTGACATGGAGATCCCGGGGAGATAGGTCTAACGTTAGGCTGAATTTTTTTTCTCCTTTACCCATCCTTCTCGAACGTTTTGGGAATCAAAACGCATACCACCCCCTCCACACCCTACCCACCCACCTCCTTGTGCACAAAGGAAATCGAACGAACAATTTGTGAGTTTTTCCTTAGCACAATTAACCAAATATTGCCGTGAACTAATTATTGTATATATCGATTTTAAACAGTCCTGCGAGCGAGCCTACTTTAGCAGAAATTTTTAAAACCATTTCTTGGCCAAGATGTTTTTTAACGTATTTTGCACCGGGAATACACCGCGAAATGCCGTGAAAAGCCGTGAATAGCTATAATTTACCGCGGTTCACCGGAGTACCCGCGAAAAACCGTGATCTAGTCACCGGGTCCGGTACCATTGTGATTATATGTTGCGATCGCGCTAGGATTTTTGCATTTTACGTAGATTTTTTTGTTTTCTTTTGCAATACAAGGACTCGCTCGCGAATACCGGTACCCAAACCAATACTAGTACTAGAAAAGAATCCAAATAATCCACAATGACTGCAAGCCAAAAGTTCCTACCGTAATCCTACAGTAGCGGAGAGCGATCGGGGATTCATACCATACCAAATCCTTTCTTTCCACACACTAAGTATAGCCGGAAATTCCTTGGCTGGCACCAACTGTGGTGTCACACTAGCTAAGTCTTCTCGCTGATACACTGCGCAACACATGTGCGATAGCAATTAATATCCTCGGGAATTTACAAACATATGGCCGGTAGGATTAGCGTCCCAAAGGGGATTAGCAACTACCCGACTGACAAGAACATATGCTCGATAGGATTAACATTTGTATCTGTCACCTAGCTTACAATGCGCAACAGTTGACCGCGCACTAGGTGAATGTTACATTCTATAATCCAAATTAATGAGGGCCACATACGATAGTCCCTACGCCAAATTTACACCAACTAATATCTCTAAGAGCATTACAACTACACCCTGAATAGACACACGAACTTTATGGAGAAGTTTTTTTTTGTTTTCTGAATTTAGAAACACAAAATAACAATTTTATTCCATACAAGTAGAAAATAAATAACATCGACAACGGAAACTTGCACTTCAGTTCCTTCTGTTCCTGCCCGCTTTCTCGCCCAACTCTTCCTTTAAAGCATCTCCTCCAACGATACCATTGAAGTAGACGTTGGATGTCGTTCCTCGCAATAGTGCACTTGTGAACCCAGGCGGCATCGGAATCTCATCGCCCAAGCTTTGCACGCTCAGGCTTCCGAAGTGCAACATAACGCTGATTTTGTCCCCCTTCCAGCCATCGCGCTCGGGGGAAAATTTGTAATGATAGTTCGAGCTAGTATGAAGGCTGCCTAAAAGAAAAAAAAACAGATACCAAATAACACTTTCAGTTCAAAGGGTAAAATGAATAACTGAACTTACATTGCAACCTTTTTCCCAGGGTACGACGGTCATACACCTCCACTTCCATAATTGCTGTGAAGTCAGGTTGAATACGAACATAAGTTCGTTTCACCTCGCCTCTCACTAGATGTGAGAGGATCCTTTCCTCACAGAGCAATTGCTCCTCCAACATGGATACATCCCGCGTTCCCTCCAAGATGGGTATTAGTTTGCGGAGCGTGAACAGGTCTTCACTCATTTCCGTCACTTCCTTGAAAAAAAATTTTGTTAACATTTCTAAGGAACATTATTTTTTTTGAAATTAGTCTACTTACGTAAGTCAACTGTAATTTAAACACTTACCTTAGATAGTTCCTTGTTCATCTTCCGGTCAGAAAGGGATTGTTTTTCGTGGTTCTCTTCTTCTCTTCATTTTGTAATCCAAAATCCCAATCTGCCGGGTTTTCTCGTTCAGCTGCCCATGTAGGTTATCGCAGGCAGCCCAGCCATGCTTAGAGGAACTTTGAAACTGGTCGAGCGTTTTTTGTTTTCCCTTCAGCTGCGACTGAGTTGCAGCTAGCTGTTTCTCTAACCTAGCGACCAGCGCCTCCAACGACGCGTTATGCTCTTTCAACTAAAAGAAACACATGAGTAACACTGTAAAACTTGAGTAAGACTTCAAAACAAATTCAAACTCTTACCTCTGTTTCCACATTCAAGGCAGCCGCAGATTCCTCGGGCTGCGGAGAGCTGTTTCTGGTGCCCACCTGGCTCCACTGTTGACTTACCAAGCTCCATTCGGAGCCGGCTTCTGAACCATTGTTGACTTGTTGAGCAGACATCGGTAACTGGAAAGATGAAAATCAAGTATGAAATCGGAATTTTAAATAGGAGTGAGAGGAAAGATAAGGGCAAGCGTAGTATGTGGATGTCGAATTGACAGTGCCAGAACAATGCGCCGATGCTTGTACAATGTGTAAGCCTTAATCCTTACGGGGCCGTAGAGAACCAACCCACAGCTTCATCTAGAGATTTGGAGAGTACAGAGTACACAGAAAAAACTAGTGGATCTTGCAAGAATTTTGTATATTATCAATTTGTAAATATACAACAGCCACAAAATTACACTTCTGAAGCTACCGTAATCTTGGTGTATGGTCCCGCCCACTTCGGGAATTACAACCACCTGTCAACCCGCCTCCAGAAGCCACTTGTAAGCTCATTCAACTCTCAGTGGTCCAACCAGCCGGTTGGTCCCTCTCCTCTTCTACCTTCGCTCTACTGCCGCTCCAACCACATCTTGCCTTGCTGCATCTCGAAGAAGCTACCGTATCCGTCTGTCAACAATCAGCCAATTAACGACTACACTTGCAACGATAGGATAGAGGTGCGCTCTTCACGAAAATTGATCATTTTTTCTTCTCTCTTCATTGCATCTCATAACAACTACAAAATACATCAACAATATAAATTTTTCATTTGAAAATACAAAACAAAATTCAAAAAAAAAATCTTCTTTCTCTAAGATTTTTTCTTTCGTATGAGCAGTTCTGATACTGATCTCAGTTCAGTCACTTCAACACGCATTCGTAAAGTTGTTGTTCACTATATCACAACACCGTTAACTCGTGTTCATAGTAGTTCAGATACTGATCTTAGTTCAGATAGCCCAAAGCACGTTCTCAAAGTTACTCCTCACGGTGCTATAAAACGTAGACCTCGTGCTCACTCTCGAATTTCGCATAAAAGAGTAAAACAAAATAAAGTCCAACTTTTGCCAATTGATCACGCCTCTTCTGCTCCTTCATTGCTAAGTGACAGTTCTTCACCTGCTTCTATTTCATCCAGCTCACTTGTTTCTTCTTCTTCATCTTCTCAAAAAGGAAACTCTAACTCTGAATTAAATACTGTAGAATATAGTACGGTAATATTAGATCCTAGCGCTGTAATAGTTCAACCTATATCAGTTGAAGTTCAATCTAGTACTGTAGTAACTCAACCGAATACCTCTGAAAACCCTCTAGTACATTTATTTACTTTTGATCATCCTACAGATAATTTTCAAGAGCAAAGTAGGTACCTGACCACCTTTTCGAAGTAAAACGAGAACTGGTCCCCGACCACGTAAATTCAAATTTTCAACAGTCTCTTGAGGAACAAATTGATATAGTAGAAAGTACTCAGCTTAACACAGTAGTAGATACCCCATCACAATCTTTTATAGTACAGCGAGAACTGGTCCCCAATCACGAAACTCCAATTTTTCAAGAACCTTTTGTGCAGCAAGTAAATACAGTAGTAGACCTACCAGTACACCCTCTTACAATAAAACGAGAACTGGTCCCCGAACCCGAATTCATAGATTATCAAGAGTTTCATAGTGAACAAGTTAATACCGCTGTAGAGGCTCCAGAACCACTTTTCCTAATCAAACGAGAACTGGTTCCCGACCAAGAACCTTTAGATTACCAGGAATTTTCTGTTGAACAAGTCAATAACGTTTGTGAAACACCAGTAAACCCTCTTTTGGCCGAACGAGAACTGGTCCCCGAGAACGAATTAGTAGATAATCAACAAATTCTTGCCGAACAAGTGAATTCGAGTGTAAAAACAGCACTTCACCAACCTCCACCAATCCGAGAACTTGTCCCCAACGTAAAAGTTTTTTCTGCACTTATTATCAGGGAAAATTTAACTTTCGAAATGCAACAAAACCAAGTGATAGAACATTTGGATGCTATTTTTGATAAGCTGTGTTTATCTTCGTATGCAACCAAACTTCCAACATTTTCCGGGGAACAAGGTGGCAGTGGTTTGATGAGTTTTTTGCAAAATTTCATAGAAATAAGTAAAATCATGGGACTGACAGCCCCTCGGATGGCTAGATTGTTACCTGCACACCTTAAAGGCACAGCAAAAGCTGTTTTTGATAACTTTACCGATGCACAGAAAGAAAATTGGGACACAATTGTTGCTGCTTTGCGTTCACATTTCGCTACTAGTCATTTCTTGGATACAGCGCGAGAAAAACTCATGGATTTAGGAATGAGGAATGGCGAATCACCAACTCTGTTTTCCAGTAGAGTAAGACGTAACGTATTGGAAGCTTATCCAGAGGCTAATGAGGAAGACACTAGGAAATTTCTCCGATCAGTAGTTTTGAAGAACGGAATTTCACCAAAAATCAAACAAAAGCTCAAACTATTGGGTCCGCTTCCCGCCGATTACGACGATTTGCTCAAAGAATCCGAACGTGTTTACGATTTGATCCAAACAGAAGAAAATTCTGTAGGAGATTCGCTGCTTATGGAAAAAGTAGACAAAATTCTCGATAACATGAGTTCAGCCCCCATCAATAGCATCTATAGAGGAAATTCCTATAGACCCCCATACAATAATCCACAATTTCGAAGCAGATTTCGTACACCGAGAAATACCGGACGCTACAAATCTCCTTTCAATCCTAGACAAAAACGATTCAATTCAGATAGAAAACATGTTAGATTCAGCTCTAACACCCGAGAAAATTCTCGTGAACAATTTCGACGCCGTTCACCATCCTTTTCGCAAAGAGACAGATCGACATCTTTTTCGCAAAGGGACAGGTCTAGAACACCGCCCCGCAACTTTCAGAATAGGAACACAAATCAATCTTAAAGAGGTAGAAATGTAAATTTCATTTCTACTAGCAGTTCATCGAATATGAGGGGTATCCCTCACTCTCTTTTCCTAGTGACTTTGATTTGCATGTCAATTCCCTCTGTTTTGACACTTTCTCATACTTACCAAATATGTGCTGCAGGAAAATCTGGTTGGCCATTAGCTTTCCCAGAAACTACCTCCTGCACACATTCTACAAACGTTTCTGAAATTTTGATAACAACTGCCGCTGTTTATGTAGAGAGAACAGAACCATACATGGCCAAAGCATTCCACTGTTTCAATAAAACCAGAAAAATTTGTGCTTCTTCGTATTTGCATATCTCATTTTCCGTTAATAGCGATGAAGAATTTATGACATCAATTGATCCTGATTTGTGTACAACTTTGGCAGATACGAAAAAATTCATGGGTCAGCCATTAAAAGTACTTTCCAAACACGTATTTGGGTCAGACAACAATATTCATTACTCTTATCCTTGGTTTTTTGGAGAAAAATACACATTTACCTCGAATGTTTTTGTAGAATTTGGCGAAGTCGCTACCTATGATGGTATTAAAGTAATTAGCCAATTTGGAGACACAGAAAAATGCTGGTATCGTGATTATCGTTGTTTACTTTCTCATGGTACTCTGGTTTGGGAAGCACAGCAAAAAACCGGTAAACCTTTTGCATGTAAGTACGAAAAAACCGTGGAAAGTGTCGCTTATGTGACTCCATCGCACATAGTTCTAGATAATATCCAAACAGCGCTGACATACAAAAATGTCACGTACACACCAACACAATTAGGTTTTTGGTGCTTACCGCACAAGGCTATCGCCATGGATAACGGGGTATTTGTCTATTTGCCAGAACTTCAAAATTTCAACCCACGCAAAATTTTTTCTGTTAGGCCGGATTTCGTGGACGATATTAATCGCAAACATTTTCGCGCCTCAAGAACTTTGCAAATGCTGGACACGATACATCAAAACCGCCTCGAAACTCTTAAGAATCTTAAAGAGCAACACACTAGGCGGATGAAACGGGTAGCTCTTCTTCAGAATCAAAAGAAGGATCATAAAGAATTAACAGCGTTTCTGATACATGGCCAAAATCCTCCTTTGATCAAAACACCTGCAAACGATTCAGCAGCAGTAGCTCAGCATATCGCTGCCAATGTTGAACCCAATTTTTATCAAATTAATAAAGATTTTGAACTAACGCACGAGCAGAGACAAGATCAAGCACACTACGAATTAAATACTAAAATGCAGTTTCTCAAATTAAAACTTGAAGAGGTTATCAAGCATGATTTTCACTATCTTTTTGATCGTATATGTACATTAGCTAATTTTAAAAGTCAAGCAATCAAAAGCATAGCTCACATCAATCCAACAAGTGCGGCTCGTATTTTGCTCAATAGGAACGACATTTTTGCTGTCACAACCGGAGACGTACTTATGATTACTAAATGTAGAGAAGTTAAGGTTGACGAAATATACCTAGATCATAAAGTTAATGGAATTTGCTACATGTTAACACCTGTTCGAATCGGGGGCGATATCTATTACGTACAACCAGGCACACGTGATTTGACTCCAATTAGCCCTGAAGCAAATTGCGGACATCTTCCTTTTGGTATTTATGAAGATGGAACAAATAATTACCAATCACCGCGTGGTCCTGTAGATGTCGCTCGCATTCATACAAACCTTCCATATGCTCTGGCTAATCAAGACATTATTTTCAATTCACCACCCATCTTTCATTCGGATTTAGCACGGTTAACTACCGATGTTGACATGATTAAAAATCGTTTGAATTCTGAGCAAGTATATTCTTTACAGCCAGGTATACCTATTCAGCGAAATTCTTTTGGTGAAGATTTTGACAGAGAAGCAGTTAGTAATGTTCATTATATAGAATCGAAAGCTTCTGATATACTTTTGATGGGAAAACAGAAGGTTATTCAAGCACTAGGTTTACACACTTTAGTCAGAGTTATCGTCTATATAGTTATTTGCATCATAATCATGATATTCCTCATTATACTCTATTACCAGTTTTTCATTGTTCGAGTTATTTTTCATCTTTTGTGGAAAATTTTGCGTAATCTAGTATCCTTTATCATCAAAAATTGTAAAAGAAAAGAAAACAATAACAATGACTGTAACAGTGAACCTACTGCACCATCCCCCACACCACTTCCTCGGCAAATTTTGCAAGCAAGAAGAAGGAATCCTTTGGTTAAACATTCTAGCGCGAACGAATCTGTTGAAATAATAGTCCAGTATCCAGACTTTACAGAAATTTCTTTACAAAACACTTATTCTCCTCAGCCCATTAAAACGAAAACCACCAAAACTCCTGCACACATTAGTGTGCCAAGCATCTCTCTTATACAGCATGATTCATTATCAACAATTCACATTCCCACAAAAATCAATGATCGAGACGTGATTGCACTATTTGATACCGGATCGGCAATCACGATAGTTTCTGAACGTTTAGCAAAACTTTTGCGCGAAACCATTACTTTTCCATCCATAACTGAAGGAATAACTGCGAACGGTACACCCATCAGATTTTTGGGCGAAATATCACCTAAATTACAAGTAGGTGATAAAAGCGTACAAACAACTATGTTTGTAGTTAGAGATGATAATTGTGCAGCTGAATTTTTGATCGGAAACGATACTATCAAAAAACTTGGATCTAATATTTCAATAGATTATGCAAACAAAACTGTTTCTTTTGATAAAACTTCTGTTTGGTTTGTTATCCCGAATGACCCTGAGTCATCAAACCTTACTCTGCCTGTACATCTTTCCGCAGATACAACACTACTCCCACATACAGATAACGTTGTTCTTGGTTCATTGAATATTGCTTTTCCTAATACTTGGGAATTTTTCATTAGCGATGACCATATGATCACACTACCGCATGGCATAGCTGTAGGAAAAACGCTATCCTGCACCAAAAACAATGATCGAGTGTATTTGCGGATCCTGAATAACGCCCATAATTCGATATTTTTGCATAAGAACAGACAAATTGCAAGTGCTAATTATGTAGGAAGTGATATGTACTGGCCTCCAATTTTTTCTGTCTATGCAAAAGAAAATTCTTCGGAGTATGTACCATCCTTACCAAGACAACCGGAGTATATACCTCCCGAAGCAGATTTGAACAAAAACATGCCATTTTATCCGTCTGAAAGCAGTAGTGATCCGGTACAAAATCGTGTAAACATTGACGAATCATCGCTGACTAAACAAGAGCTACATCAGTTTCATGCACTCTTAAACAAATATCAATCTTGTTTCGTAGGTTCTGACGGTAACTTAGGCCGTTACACAGGTCCTATTTGTCATAGAATCAATTTTGTGCCACATGCGAAAGTTCCGCAGCAGAAACCTTATCGCGTACCTTTGGAAAAGCGCAAAGAAATCCAGCGTCAAATACAGGAAATGTTACGCACGCGCATAATAGAACCTAGCACGAGTAAATTTGCTTCTCCAATTGTACTAGTTAAGAAAGGGTCTAACAAGGACCAATGGCGTTTCACGGTGGACTACAGACAAATAAATTCAATTACGGAAAACGAAACTTACTGTATACCACATATACAAGATATTATCGATCTTGTCAGCGGAAAAGAATTATATAGCGTTCTGGATTTCAAAAGCGGATTTTTTCAAATTCCTTTGGAACCAAAACATAAAGAACGCACAGCTTTTTCATCATTTCTAGGACTTTTTCAATTCACTGTAATGGCCCAAGGTCTCAAAGGAGCACCAGGCACATTTCAGAGGGTCGCTAACGTTTTAATTCGTGAATTAAAAGCCTGCTGTTTTGCTTATATCGACGACATTATAATTGCCAGTCACTCAGTACGTGAACACCTTCAATATCTTGAAGAAGTATTTGTACGCATCCAAAATTTCGGCATGAAATTGACGAGTGAAAAATGCTCCTTTTTCAAGAAAGAAGTACAGTACCTAGGCATTTTGGTTAGCAAGAAAGGCACCCGTTTGAATCCCGAAAAAGTTACTAGTATCGTAGAAATATCTCAACCACGGATGCCAAGGGTGTAAAATCATTTCTTGGTGCCGCATCATATTTTCGTCGTTTTATACCACGATTTTCCTTCATCGCCACCCCATTAAATAATCTTTTGCAAAAGGATGTTCCATTTACATGGACAGAAGAACATAACAAAGCATTCCTTTCGCTCAAAAATGCACTGGTTGATGCACCAGTTTTGGTTTCACCTGTCCTAGGTAGACCTTACCATGTTCATACTGATGCTTCCACCATCGGAGTAGGGGCTTGTCTGCTGCAAGAAAATCCAGAAACGGGAAATCAGCATCCCATAGCGTATTGTAGCCGCCCGCTCACGAAGCATGAGAAAAATTACGCCATTATAGAACTCGAGGCGTTAGCTATTGTTTTCGCTTTAAACCATTTTTACCCATACGTGGCGAACGCGAAAATTACATTAGTAACGGATCATGCACCGCTTAAGTCCTTAATGCATAGATCTGATTTAATTGGGCGACTTGCTAAGTACCAAATCAGCGTACAAGCGTTCGACCTCGAAATCGTATACCGTGCTGGAAAGCACAACACCTTGTGCGATTTTTTGAGTAGGTACCCTGTAGCGTGCACAAATGCCATACAAGTGAATAATATACCATCTTTGGAAGATATTCGACAGTCACAAATGCATTCTAGCTATCAAAAATTGATTGATTCTCTCAAAGGAGACACGGACAATTTATCAAATGAATTCTCTAAAACCTTGCATAATTATTCCATTTTCAACGATTGCCTTTATTTTACAGGAAAAGAAACACCGCAACTAATTATTACTGATGAAGATATGCAAAAACGCATCATAGAATTTTTTCACAATAATCCTCTCATGACCTCCCATGCTGGCATGAGAAAAACTCAAAAAGCTATAGAAGCAAAATATTTTTGGTCTAACATGAGTACACAGATAGCCCAATTTATTCGAACTTGTCCTGTCTGCCAGAAAATCAAAACTCCTTCTGGCCAAATCATCCGCGAGGAATTGGGAGTTTTTCCGATACCTCAGCGACCATTTGAGCGCATGCATACTGACATCGTCGGACCACTTCCTCAGTGTATACATGGAAATAAATTTATTTCTATTACGGTATGTGCATTCAGTAAGCTCATAGTGTGTACTCCACTCCCAAATCAATTGACCGAAACTGTTGTAAAAGCGTTAGTAAATGACGTCATCTCCAAACACGGAATTCCTAATGAGATTGTTTCTGATAGAGGATCAAATTATACAAGTGAAATTTTTGCACAAATCAACGAAATTCTAGGAATCTCTAATGTTTTTACAACAAGCTACAATCATAAAGCAAACGGTCAAGTAGAGCGACTAGTCAAGGTCATCACTGACTCGCTCACTTCTTACTGTTCGGAAGCGCGAGACTACTGGTCTGACTTTCTCCAGCCTGTTGTTTTTGCTTACAACTCGAGTATAAACGACACGACTGGATACAGTCCATACTTTGTCGTCTACGGACGACATCCTATTACGTGGAGCGACATCGTACACCAACTACCATCCCGCATCTCGTACGCAACCGACAACTTTGCCGATCAGCTCACCACGGCCCTACAAACAACCATCATGGATGTAGGAAAACAAATTGCTAGTAAAACAGCAAAATATAAAGCAGGTTATGATTTTCAGCACAAAGTTTTTCTAAAGGAAATTTCCACTGGGGATCTCGTTTTGTTACACGACGATACAGTTCGTCCAAAATTTTCAGTACAGTGGAAGGGTCCTTTTGTAGTAGAAAGTGTGAACAGACCTAACATCACTATCAAAAATCTGATTGGTCGTCAAACCCTTCAGACAGTGCACATTAACAGATTGAAAATTTATGCACCCCGTCCTGCATTGGCTAACGTTTCTAGTCCAACCCCTACACCAATTTCGCCTATCACATCAGAAACGTCAGAAAATGAAGAACATCCTAATATTCGCCGCTCTACACGTCTTCAAAACCGACGCAAAACTCTTACCTATGTTCCTTCTCACTCTAGAGAACCCATAACTGATCAATAAAACAAAAGTTTTTTTTCTGTTTTCTGTTTTGTAACTTTAGCAGTTACTGGTTTTCTGAAATGCATTCTCTTTTGTCCATCTTTTCTTTTTCTCCTCGCTGCGTTAAATCAAAATTTTTTCCCATCATTACATATACTCCTTTGAAAAGGCGATTCACAGGAGTCAGCAATAATCTCATTTTCTTACCAAAAAAAAACCCCAAAGAAACCCGCTTCGCACGTTTTCTGCAATCCTTTTTGGTGATTTCTCAAATTTCGCCCAGGTGCTCAAATTAGCCAATTGATTGTGACTAATTGAAAGCCTGCTTTATTTCTTTCTGCACCTCCGTATGTTTCAACATTTTTTTGAACAAATCTTTCGAATCTGAAATTTTCCCATAATTGAGTTTATATTTCGTTTTATTGCTCCTTCATATGTGCATTTGTTTATGTACTTCTTCCCCTTCAGTATGTACCACGGTAATCTTGCTATTAACTTATATAATGCACAACATTGATGAATGTGACCATTTTATATAAATCATCCCCCTCCCCACTTCTACATCAACTTCTACATACGAATTCCACGTTAATATCCATGCCTACCTTCACGATGAACCCACTTCTACAACGACACCAACCGATCCTTCCCTTCCTCCATCGCCAACCTTAGCTCGAGGACGAGCTTCCTTCAACGTCCGGGATGATGTGATGATGACTGATAAGACTGATGACGCCAACGATGAAGAATAGGTCGTGACTGTCTACGCAGTTCACCTATTCTTCCGCGAAATGGAGACTTCGAAGATGTAAAATCAACAACCTCATCACTACGTTCGCCAGCTATCTGTAAGCTCGAGGACGAGCTTAAATTGGAATTGGAGATGTCGGGACCCAGCCCGGCAACAGCTGCTAGCTGAGGGGCAGAGCCATCGCCTAAGGCTCAGTGAAGGTGGGAGCACCGGAGCCGACGGGCTCGCCCCACTTCCCCCTCCCCCCTCCCCTATGTATCACCCTTATTTAATTAATCTTAATAAATATTTATAATAACTCTAATGTACTTACCTCGTACCGCTACGCTCACGCAAGGGTCCGTACACCTCTTGAACCTGACACGCCTGACCTCATTAACTTATCTTCTAACAGCTCAAAACTTTCCATTTTTTCACTCAAACTTTTAAATGGTCCTTTCTCTTCCCACCGCCGAAATTTTAAACGATTTCATCACCTCTCGAAAAAACTATCAGTGGTTAATCCTACCCATATGCCGAAGACGATTGGTCGTAAATCCTCTTTTATTTTCGTCCCACTGTAGGTGCGCATCTTTTGCAAAGTTTTTGCACAGGAGGATAAGAACTGCGGCAAGCTCGATTTTTCAAGCAGTCGTTCCATTTCTTCGTCGTCACAGGAGGGCTGACTCCAGTGTGGAGTTTTACTTTACTTTCCTTTTCCTAGGTGGAGACCGAAAGGTTAGTCTTGTGACATTCGCACATTCTGCTCGAGTGCTTTTTGTCCAGTTACTTGAAGAAGTCAAATGGGTGAAATCGTCGAAAAGTTCGAATCATGTGCCGTAAGTTTGCTTTGTCTTTTACTTGGCTTCTTCCTGTTTTTATCGTTTTCCTCATCCTGGGTTTTTATTTTTTCCTTTGCAGGCAATTTGCTAACTTTTGGGTCAACAGTCGCAATTTCTTATCAAGACTGCTGACTGTCTAGTAGCAATCTGCAGAGAGGAGCTTGTGGTGGCTCGTCTTTCTGCCTTCCAAGCGATCTTTGCTGTTGATTTGCTAACCAAGGCATGCATACTCGTTTGGTTCACGGTATAGGCCTACAATGCAGAATCTATGTAGTTTGCCTACCTTCACCTTCTTGCTATGATTCAAGAACGATTTACTCTAAAACCGAAAATCTCCTCAGTGAATGAAGCAAATTTTGCCGCGATTAAATCAGGTTGGATCTGTTTATCTCCTTTTTTTATTTCTTTTGTATAAGATGATTTGTAGGTTCTGCATTATCGAACATCAAAGTTGCTTCGTCGTTGTTTCCTCTTATCAAAGATATAAAGAACGGCATGGTGAATTTCTTGTATTCCTGCCTTTTTTTTTACTTTTGAGACATTTACAGATCATTCTTACCATTCCTGAAGAATTTGAAGTGCATCTGACAGTACTTGGTGAAAGAGAGTCAATTCAGTGGACGCTTTTGAATATAAAAATGCTTGTCAAGACTATGAAATCGTTATGGAGCCAAACTCGTGCATTCTTTGCAGCTGAATACGCTACACAAGTGCTGCAGTCTAGAACGGACATTGCGAAGAATGTTGGTGTTGTCTTTGCAGCTTTCCTGTCCCTCAATATTGTTCTTTGGTCGCATTACTATATTTAGCTTTGAGAGTGAAGACGCTGTTCTAAAGATGCGGCATTATCCGACTGCACCGGATCTTGGACAATAAGACGATAGAACAGGGTGAGGAGATCTATGCATGTTCATTCTGAAGTTTTGGTTGTTTTATAGGCGCCTTTCGAATGATCGTCTTTTGTCGGAAACGATAGTCGTACGCTGTCATAAAAAGTTGTTGCGAATACGAAAACCACTAAAAGCAGCAAAAGCTCTGTCCATCGCGCTTTATGCCGGTAATTATATGCTTGAGGTAAATCGATTGAGATTGCTTTGCAGGCTTTGCTTTTCCAAGCCTTTGGCTACCGCTTCTTCGTTGTGATATCTGTTAATATGTTCACGCGTGCTCTGCAGTTTGAACGCAATAGGTACTCTATTTCGAAATCATACTCTCAAGTTGGCTTTTTTGCTCAATATTTGCTGCGTTTTCAATCAAGTCTTGTTTGCATTTTTTGAAACTGAAAGATGGTTGTGGAGGAGTTACCACCTCCGCGTTGCAAATGATGCGTTGGATCCACATTTTCGACAAAGTTCTCCTGGTTCTCCTGATGCCACAGAAGCAAGGTCAGTATCATTTATTTTTGCGAAGGTGATCTACTTCTTTACGTGAAAAACATTTTCTTGCACTTTTTACTTCTTTACGTGACAACTTTTCCTTGCCTTTTTATTTTTACATTACTTTTTTACATCTATACTTGTATTTATGGGTCGAGCAGGTGCACCTGGAACGGCCAGAGGTTGTCGGCAATGGTTGCCGAGGTTGCCGCGCTGCCGTGTTGGCGGTCGTGGTAGGACCACATGATAGCCTCCCCGTTTCGGCGCTTTTTAAGCTGTCTCTGACCCCGGCATCTCAGCAGCGTCGGCAACGCCAGCAACCTCGACAACCGTTGCCGACCCCATGACCGTTCCCTTAGGGAACGGCCATAAGTTGTCGGTGTTGTCGGTGTTCTCGGGGTTGCCGAGGTTCCCGGAGGACGCTGTAGGACCTCATGACAGCCTCCACGTTTCGCACATTCTCTAAACTGTCTCTGACCCCGACAACACCGACAACCCCGACAACACCGAAAACACCGACAACCTATGTCCGTTCCCTTAGGTGCATCTGCTCGATCCATCAATACAAGTATAGATGTAAAAAAGTAATGTAAAAATAAAAGGTGCAAGAAAATGTAAAGAAGAAGATCAAGTAAAGAAGATGATCATTTTCGTAAAAATAAAAGATACAGACCTTGCTTCTGTGTCATTAGGAGATTCTGGAGAACCTCGTCGAAAACGTGGATCCAACGCATCATCTACATCACGGAGGAAAAAACACGATCAATGAACAAAATTGCAGGACAGGAAAGCTGAAAAGGCAACACCGACATTCTTCGCAATATCCATTTTAGACTGCAGCACGTTGTGTAGCATTTTCAGCTGCAAAGAATGCACGAGTTCTGCTAAATAACGATTTCATAATCTTTGACGAGCATTTTTATATTCAGAAGCGTCCACGGAGTTGGCTCTCGTCTCTCGTCCTACGAGTACAGTACGTCAGATGCACTTCAAACTCTCCAGGAATGGTAAATGAGCTGTAAATGTCAAAAGAAAAAAATCGCAAGAAGCAACCAAAGTCTAAATATGACTTTGGATTTTGGATTTTTTTTTGAAAATCTGTTGCACTTAATAAACTTTTTGTAATAGTAAGAGTGTACACAGAAAAGAAATGTGCAGAGGTGGGGCGGGGGGGGGGGGAGATGGGGGGGGGGGAGTGTCGTATCTTAGCATCACCACAGGGGGGGGGGGTCGTATTTGGCAGCCTTGCGCCTCACCTCTTGCTCAACCCTGTATAATATAATATCTTATAATAAGACTTAATCTGTGCATATAAACAATCATCAAGCTCGAAGCTCAAAAGTAAAATTGGTAAGCAAAACGTTTAAGTTTTTACACTTACGGCGCTTCCCAGCTTTTGATGTAAATTAGCAGAAACTGCTTTTTTAGGAGAGGCACGAACTATACACTCTAAGGAAAAGTAAGAGCAAAAAAGAAATTTACCCAGCATGCAATCTTTGAGGTTCCATCCCAAGTTAGAAAAACACTGCGATTACGTCTTAACTATCTCCTCCAAACTAAATCTACTTGCTTACCATCGGCTCTTTTAAAGAAGTGTTTAGATCTATCAATGCTGAAATAAAAGACTTTCTAACAAAAAACGAAATACAGATTCTAGTTAGTTTCAAGTCAGCTATGGCCCCTACATTCTCAATAACTATGCTTTATGTGCAAAATATCCACAATCAAGAATTTTTTCATTTTCAATGGATTTTGAGAAATCATTTATCATTTAGCTAAGGAGAGCTTCATCAGCTTATATTTTAGAACTTTGCTAATTCAAAACTTATTATTTGCTGACATCCAGTAACTGATCCAATTCTATTAGGGCGAACTATTTCAAAGCACGTTGTAAGATCATAATAGAAATGGGTTTTTGTGAATGCTTCAGAGAGCTGTCTCATGAAATTCTTTCAAATTCGATATGGACGCATTTTCAGTCCCATAAAATTAATCTTCTGAGTCTCGGTTGTAATTCAACTGACACGAGATCAAAAGATTATATACAGAGTCATAGTAGCAAAAAATAATAAAAAAAATTTGCTTCCGCGTTGCAGTAATCTAACTGGCAAGGTTTTATCATAATGAGTATTGCGTTCAAGACGATTTTATCAGTAGAAAATTCATTTGGGTATTATTCATTCTGGTAAGTCATTTGTTCACTACAGTTTTCTCGTGGGAGTAGGTTGCTGGTAATTTGAGTTTTCATTTGTACCAGCGGGAAACAAATAAGTTTCTTTTTTGCACTTCTATCGGTCCTGGACCTTCTACAACGTTTCCATGTGCATCAAGAACGGGAACATCAACATATTAGATCTGTCTGCACCAAATATCTGGTATCGTCTGGAAGTTTTATAGCACAATATTTGAAAAAAAAAAAACTTTCTAACTCAATCAATTTTATTGTCGATTTCGTTGTTAAGGGAGAACCAATTACATTTCAATGGCATCTTGGCAGCTCGTTACTGAGCAAAAATTGTAAGAAGCAGCAAAAAAGATTATAAGAGCTTCATTATTTTTCAGAAAGCCCTCAAAATACTAAAACATTGTAGTGAATCTCTAGATAGTCAATAGTATAACTTTTTGACCTACATTTATGCTAACTAAGCATTCATGAAATGTTATGAATTTTCAAAAAAAACGAAATGAAATAGTATTTCAGGGGTATTTTTTGAAAATTATCAAATTGACTTTTATTTAGAAGAACTTCTTTAGCACAGCACGAACTTTGCTCACTTTGGAAAAAAAACTGCCGTGAGGTTTTATTGCTTGCTCGCGATTATTGATAAGGATTTCTGGATTTCTGGCCATTTTGTTGAGAATCATCGAAGCTCGGGTAGTTTTCCACTTCTCCTTCTGCAACGCCTGATGAGTGAGCGTCGTTAGAATGCAGATAATTTCCTCTGTCATAAAAGACGACAAGCAAAATAAAAATAGAAAAGTCTTCATTCTCTAAGATGATGCATTGGAACTTTTAAACTAACATTATGATAGATCCAAGTGAATGAGTCAAAATTTAAATGTGCGAGGTGTCCCATTTGATTTTATTGGAGACAAGTAACAGCAACACTCAACAATGCTGCCTTTTTTCTTACAGCTTTAGCACTTTGTGAATTTAGCAATGATCAACTCAAACCCTAAGACCGATATTCTTGCCAAGTTTTTTTTGCCATCACAAATGCAAAATTGTAAGAAAACTCACCGTATGTTCAAGTCTTTGGAACATTCATACTGACCTTGAGTAAGTGAAAAACGCAGCAACATTTTTTGAGATGAAGATAGAAAATAACAGGTAAAATCCTTCCTGCATAACTGCCAATAAATTAGTGTTTATATACTAAAATGTAAAGGATCGGGCATACTTCATGCGATTTCAGCCGCAATGCGATTTGGCACTATTCCAAGCGTTTGTAACTCATCGTAAACAGATTTTAAATGTACGAAAAATAGAGCATTATATCACTTCACGGGAGTTATACACGCTTTGCGGTGAGCCATTGTTGAATATGAAGAAATCTGGCGAATTGCCAGTTCGAATCTAATCGCCTCGATCATACTTCCCTGGAGCCAAATCGCATCAAGTATGTCCGTAGCCTAACAATAAAGTGTGAGAGTGGCAGTCTATAAATCAGCGATTAAGTTGATAATTTATTTTGGAACGTTTGCTAATACTGAAGTGAGACATTCTGGATTTTCTATACAATTGGTCCACTTTTTTCCTGTATTTTCACTTTAGCAGCTTTTTTCATTCCTATAAGCAGAACAATAACTCTAATCTGCTGGTCTCTTCCTCGACTTCTTTTCTTTGGCCTGAACCAGAAATCACATAGTGAATTGCTAAGAAGATGGAATGAACAACACCTACGAACCTTCCGACTGCATATCCTTCACAATTCCAAATTTTTTCCCAGATTTGGTTTCTACATTTTTTTTCTATCAAAGGCCTTCGTTCGTTACCACATGATAGCCTATTTCTCATCCGATTTGATACAAGCAACGATCTATCAATCTTCCAATATTCAGTGGGTTTAGCGACGTTACTGCTTGCCCTGATTTTACAATAATACGATAATCGTGACTCTTCGGCAGTACCAGTTACTTTGGTAAATCTGAGACGACTACCACCCCACTGTAAATCTTTTGAAATAACAAGTTCGTCTAATTTGAGACCACCGGCGACTGTTTTAGTTCTTTTCTAATGCTCTATTCTCAAGAATGGAAAATCTACGTGTGAACTGAGTAATGAAGCTGCCCATGTTGTTCTGATTCAGCGACAGAGAAATGGATAAAAGCCTTCTCTATTTTCATTTTTTTTCTGTATCATCTACAGCAAATAGCAATAAAAAATAAGCCACGTTAAAGCAGAACTGCGACCAACTACGAAAAGATATTGC